ACGTAGCCGTAACGAAACGTTTGCAAGAAAACAATCAAGCTCAGAGAACCCCAAGGATTCCATAAATCTCTTTTTATTACAACAAAAGAGGTATATACTTTTGTTTGCAGATGATGACCTGAGAATTTGAATGATTTACTGAAATATTATATAGATTGTATGATACAATTAGGAGTTTGGATCTGAAAATTAATATACCAGAGACAAGCAAGCAAAATTTGAAAATCAAAATGAACAATTGCAAGTTTTATATACATGCTGAAAAACTAGATTCAAGTAGATGAATTTTTATTTCTTGGTAGAATGTTTACTAATAGTGGAAAAATGGATGCAGAAATTTCAAGATGTGCAAATGCAGGTAGAAAGTCAATTTTTTGAACCAGCTTTGGTACGTCCATATGTGAAATGATTATAGTAAGAAGTGAAAATGTCTACTTTGTTATATGGAAGTGAGAGTTAGGTATGCTAGAAGAAACAATTGCAGTGTGAGTGGATTATTAAGAGGTACATGTGTTAAACAAGAAGAGATAGGATCAAGAATGAATGGGTGTTGAATGAATGTGGATTGAATACAAGTACAAAAGATGCTGTAGTGGTTTGCTCAAATAGAAAAAATGAATGAAGGTTGAATTGCAAAACCGATATATGAAGGCAGAATAAATGGGTTGAAAGGAAGGGCAACTCCAGAAAAATTGTGGTTGGATAGTGTTGAGGATATCCTCAAAAAGAGAAAGATAAGATGTTTAAAGAAAAATAAGGCCATGTATGAAGCAGAGTATGGACATGATAAAGGCAAGGAAGGATAGTATGAAAGGGCAGGAAGGTGTCATGAGGTATAGCAAATGATGTTGATATAAACTAGGTTTATTTAGATTTCCCTTTCTTTTATCTTTTGCCTATTTCTTTTTTATTACTACTATTTTTAATTTTTTTTCTTGCACTTTGCATCTCATTGTGTTACCCTGGCATAACAGAGATGCATTTATGTATGTACGAATATATGATTCATTCATATGTATGATTAGAAAAAGTTACTTGTAAATGCAATTCTTCTAATGGATATACTTCTAGCAGCAGAGACTATTTGACTGATAATGTGCCCCTATTTTCTTCTTCAAATCTTTTAAACAATTATAATGAATTGAGGGGCTTTATGAGTAAGAACTAACAAGCTTCAATCTTATATATTCTCCCATGGAAATAATTCCATGACTTATACCAGCCTAGACATGGGTGGGATTGCACTATTCGTTAGGTTTTTTTTTTAACATAGACTCCACTCTTCCATAATAAGCCAAGAATAAGAAGAAGACATTTCAATAAGAAGACATTTCTTTGAATTTATATCTAAAATCTTATAAAGACATCCATTAGAAATTATATTGGATGTGAGAAATATGGCTCAGTTTAATGTGATAATTTTTTAACCCGCTATGAGGGCAATAAAGGTGAGTGGGCTGATTTCTTGCTAAGTCTGGCAATATGTTTTGCAATCTCTGGTTACAATTTGATTGCAGGGCATGGGTGTCCATGGGAGGACAAGGGGGGCAAATGACAAAGGTGACATCATGATGCAAACCCCATGACTTAGTTCTTGCATCACTCATCAGAATGCAGGTAGATAAGGGTGAAATATACATCATGATATTACCATATGTGTATTGCCATTTGGAGATAATCTTGGTTTCCTGTGGACACTGCTGTTGCAGGAGCATATAGTTGCTCAGAGGTTTGGACATTCTTAGCAAAGTTCTTTAGGAATCATAGCTGAAGAATCTTGGTTTCAGATGATGTTGCTCATGCCCAGCCCTTTCTGTGTCCATACCAATGGTTTCTCAGCCTCTCTGTCCATGTCCTTTAATGTACTACAGTCATGGTAAAGGAACTTCAGAGTGGCTTGGAACAGAATGGAAACTCCAGTATCACTGCTCCTTATCACTTTAATTCTCACCCATGTTTGTACAGTTTACATTTTTATTGCCATTTGTTTATTCAATAATCTAGTTCAGAATTACTTGATCGATATTATCCAATCCCTGCTTTAAGGCTGAAAGGTTTCTTAGACATGTGCAAAAAAAAAAAAAAAGGAAAAAGAGATCATCACATTCTAATAATATAGTAATACAATGTTGATGACTGTAGTTAAAAATACCTTTAAAAAAAAAAAGAACAAAAACAAAAAGAATACTAAAACAAGCAGGTAGCAAAGCTGGAATACGATTAACTAGCACTTAGTTTCCTGATATATGACTTGCTGTTAGCTGGAAGTCCAACACATCTGGGAAAGGCTGAAACACATGAAAAGCTTGGGGAAAAGAGGACTGATTTTATCTGGAGCTTGAAGGTCAACAAGGTAGGCATAATGGCTGGACTCCGTTTTCATTCATCACTTATCTAGCTTCATAAGGCAAAGCTCTTGATGAATTTGTGAAAAAGAAATCCATGTCCCTATAGGGATTTATATTTTGAGACTAAAACTTGAATTATGCCTGCAAACAAATCAGAAGGCAATGAAAACAACGACAGGCTGACCGAATTCCAACCAGTCAATGGCTATTTTATCGTGAAGCAGTAGAGCTTTTTGAGCATTGTTGAAAGGCAGGTTTTACATAAAGCTCAACTCCACTGTTCTTTTTCTATGATTATGTACCTTCTTCTTATTTTCACAAGAATCTTGGTTATTGGAATGGCTATGAAAAATTGAGCACAAACTAACAATACCTTAATATCGGTTTTTTTTTTTTTTTTAGATCTTTCTTCATGGAAACAATCTTAATAGCCTTCACCAGCTTATACACCCTGACTGCTTACCATCAGAGTTTGGAGGGACTCTTCCTCCCTATGACATGGGCACGTGGGCTCGGACGTTACTCGGACCAGACTACAGCGATGAGAATGAATACACTCACACGTCCTACAATACCATGCACGTGAAGCATTCGTGTTCCAACCTAGAGAGAGAATGCTCTCCAAAACTCATGAGAAGGTGAGATCAAAGAAAAAAATCAGAAGAATTTTGTTTGTTTTCTCTCTTCAGATAGAAGATAGGAAACATATCTGGGCTGCGAAACTTGAAGCAACCATGAGGAACAGGAAACAGATGCAGAAAACCTGGCCATCTAGTGGTTATCTAGAGGTTTGCAGCCCAGATATGAAAGACCTTGGAAATACTAATGGGTTCTCACTTTGAAGACAGCTATAACACTGGGAATGCTGTTTTATGCTGCATAAAAAGTAGTATACATGATTATCACTTTCCTGGGTTTTATTAATGATGACTGATCTCTCTGTGGTTATTTTCTATCACTTTCTGCTTCTTTCAACATCAGTGCGCATCAAGGGAGTAGGGGGCACAGTCAACCCTGGGTGCAGGCAATAAGGGGGATGCTGCTGAATATATAAGTAGGCAGGTGGCAGGTGTGGAGTCAGGCCACTGCTGTCTGCATGCTAATCAGTTGTTTGACAATCGGTGACGATGCAGCAGTTACAGAGGAGACAGGTGCGCCTTCATCAGTTTTGACTCCTGGTGACTGCCCTTGCAGTTTTCTTGGCAGCATTTTTCAGAACATGCTTGCCATTTATTTCATCCTATGGCTGAGAGACGTGACTGGCTCAAGACCACCCAGCTGGCTATTAGCTAAGGTAGGACTAGAACTAGTCTCCCGGTTCTAGCCTGGTAACTTAACCACTACACCAAAGTGGCTCTCAGCAATAAAGGAAGGGAATATTAAAAATGATGTGTTCCAGGTGTCAAATATCCTGGGTACACTAATGCTGATCATGGTATCATGTTGGTTGTTATAACAAGTGATTTGGGTGCCTTCTGATCACACCAAGGAGAGTTGAAAGGAATCTACTTATCATGGAGGCAGTAGAGTAAAACAATTCTGAAACTATCATTGTTCTGAAAATTAAAAAGTTAAATCTACACACATACCACCCCAAACCACCTCAGCTTTTAAAGACAGTTATACATGGCTGATAATATCTGGATACCTGGACACTAGAGCAGATCATAGTATAATTGATCTTCAAGCAGGCTGAAAGTAATGTGTTAATTATCAAAAAGCTATATGGGCACCTTAAGAACAAGTTTTGTGATACTAAATATATCTCATTTTTTATGGCACACCTTCCTTAATTGATTTTGGAAATGCTACAGACACAATATATCTTGATTTCATTAAAGATTTGTCAATATGTGTTATATGGGTTATTGAACCTGACAATGTTTAGTTGCATCTGAATTTTTTTTTTTAATGATTGATGTATTTGTTTAACTTGTTAGCTGCCCAGCATCACTTGGCAAATTGGCATCCATATAAATCAATCAATCAAATAAATAAATATCCTATGCTACTTTGATTAGCAATCTAGTTAAGTGTGGGCTGCATTGTATGGCAAGGATTAACAGTTCCTCATTAGATCAGGAACTGAGTGGGTTGCTGCAAGATTTAGTCCTGATCCCTGTACTCATCAACATTTTTATTATGGACTTGGAAGACAGATTTTAATTAATAATTTGAAATGAATGCTTATCAAATTTCCAGATGATACAAAATCGGCTTAGCTAATATCCCAGGAGAAAGACATAAAATCCAAAATGATTTTGATAATTTTGAAATGTGGGCTGAAATTGAAAGAATGACATTTAACAGACACAAATGCAAAATTCTTTACTAAGAAACAAGAATCAGAGGCCTGTATAAAGAGAGGTGGGTTGGAAATCCTATGTATGAAAAAGCTCTTATAATAGTTGTTGATTACAAAGTAAACTAAAACTAAAATATAAATCAGAAGTGTGATGTGCTTCCAAAAAAGAGGCAAATGCAATTTTAGGATTCCTCAGCAAATATGTTGCTTCCAGACTGTGGGAAGTGAACAGAATACACCTTGAGCACTGTGGACACCACTGTTTAAGAAGGAATCAGACAAACAGGTTCAGAAATGACCCTGAGGATAATTAGGGGATTTAAAAACTATGATGAAAGATTGAAGGAATTTGGAATGTTTAATCTTACAAAAAGAAAACTGATGGGGGAATATGATAGCACTTTTCAAATGAATATGATTTATTCTGAGACTTCACAGAGAAGAAAGTCAGGAACTGTTTTTCATCATTTCAAAGACACAGATTAATGGATTTAAGTGTTGGCATTGACTGTTCAGCACCTCCTGACCACAAGGGGGCCACAAGTTGGGTATAGCTAGACAGTTAAGGATTTACTCCAGCCTGGACCCTTCTTGATCTATTAGTCTACTGGCTCTTGTCTAAGACAGTGTTCATCTCTGGTCACTTTCTTCCTACTTTTTGCTTCCCAGGAACACATGTACAGCGTACATGCTTTTTTGCATCTGTTGATGGTAGGATGTGGGCTTTGCCTATTTTTATAATGCATTTCCTGTAAATAAATCTTTCTGTTATAGAAACTACTTACCTTGCTCAGATCAGATTTCTGCTTTCAAGAACACTCACACACACATACAGAACACTGACCTCCAACATTAGCTTACAGAGAGGCAGATTCCGTATTCTAACTGAAGGGATGCAATCATTGTTAGCTTATGAGGTGGTCTTTACAATAGAGATCTTGTTGCAGATAATAATGTGAGCATGCTTTGGGCCAAATGGGACTTTGGAGAGGTCCTCTGTTGGTTTTAGCTATCTTCAGTATGATGTTGATGTCCAGTTGCATATTACCACCCTGGGTTGGGCCAGTGATGCTGTGGAGGTCTTCCCGCACTGTCTGGAGGCTGTGAGGGTTTAGATGGAATGTAATAGCTGAAGCTGATCCCAAGCAAGATGAAATGGCTATTATTGGTCTGCTCCAGAGTTGTTTCTCAAGCAGGAGAGACAACCTCAGGAAACCGGTTCATGTGGACTCACAGTTGCTGCTGCATAGACAGGTAGAAGCCATGGCCAGCAGGGCCTTTGCCTAGCTCTGGCTGGTGCATCAACTGCAAACCCATTTGGAATGCAATGGTCTTGCATCAGCCATTCATGGCCCTATCACTACCCATTTGGACTACTGCAATGCACACTACAGGAAGCTGCTTTTGAAAAACCACTCAGAAACTGCAGTTGGCACTAAATGTGGTAGCCACCAGAAACAAATAACATCTGTGCTGCGGGTCCTGCATTGGCTACCAAGAGGTTTCTGGGTGAAATCCAAAGTGTTGGTGTTGACTTATAAAGCCCTATATGGCTTGGCACCAAGGTACTTGCTAGACTGCCTCTTCCTACCAGAACCAAACCATTCCGTACAATCATCCTGGGAGGACCTACTGCTTTCCCTTGTTTTCATGAACTGACAAGAGCCAAGGCCAGAATGTTGTTGTAGTAGTTGCTGTTGTTATGGCTCCAGTCCTTTGGATTGACCCTCATGGAGAAATCAGGCTTGCCAGTGATTAAGGCACTGGACTGGCACAGGGGAGACCCAGGTTCTAGTCTAACAATGATTTGGGAGTAATTTTAGCTACATACCATGAGGCTAAATTCTAAATAAGCATACATAGGATTGTGCTCTTACTATTAACAAACACACAGACATTTCTCATGTTCGGTTCTTATTGCCACATATAATAATCAGTACAGTTCAAAGGATTATAGCTATTATCTATTTGGTGATAGAGAATAGAGATAGCAGTTTACATACTAAGTTCTGAATTATTTTTGAGTGGTGTGCTGGCAGCTGCACTCCAAAGAGTAGTGGAGCCAGGACAACACTGAAATTCAATTTGATTTCATTCTTATTTAATTCATATTATGTATAAATCAATATTTTCCCCTTCTGTGAAATCAAAACATCAATTTGGTGATAACTTTTGGAGATACCAAGGCTTTAGGAGACCACATTTTACCCTGGGAATTTCAGGTTATTCACCTCCGCATGACGTTGATGAATCAAAATGTACAGTACATTGGAATGAATCCTAAATAATAGAAGTAGAGATTTAGAATCAGGGGTGTTTGCTGGGAGGGGAGTCAAAAAGTCAAGATGGTGGCCACAACTATGTGAAAGGGGTGGAATTTTTATCACATCACTTTTTTTGATCTCCTTGTCGACATCACTGTTTAGAAGGGCACTTTAAAACTCTGTTATACCTGGGAGGACCCCGTAGGCAAAGTTGCCGAACAAGGTTCATTTTTTTCCCCTGTTGGAGAATAGTTTCTGCATTTTGACTATAAAAGATTTATTTCCCATCTCTAGAAATACATGCTAGTTACTATGACAACTTAATTGTCCTCTGTGTGTGTTGCCTACACTGCAGGAGAAAGAAGTATAGGCAAGAGAAGCTATAGTATGTACCTCAGAAAGATGGAAACCCTGCCATGAAAGTCATGCCAGGTCAACTGCAGATATCTGAATGACATGAAGGAAAATTACGGAGGAAGATAGGAGTACTGAAAGATCATCAAAGTAAAATTTATATTCTTTTTGCAAAGATGGATTTCAGATGGAAAAAGAAATCCTCCAAAAATCATAAAAGTAATGATACATACCTCTTTGAGATTGGCAATGTTTTTTAATACCCACCCTCCCCCCCAGGTTTTTTTTTTTTTTTCCCCCCAATTTCCAAAACTCTGTTTCAAAAGAAGAGGAATCAGAGAAGACATATGATTCTATTATTATGCTGGAGAATATGGCATCTACAAACATCTCCTTTTTACAGTTCAATATGAATTATGATATTTATCACTGTTATGGCAATAATAGCTGGCATGGTTCAATGTGTCCTCCTTTCAAAAGGTATGGAGGCTCTGTGTGGAATCTCCCAGTGAAGTATGAACCTGATAGGCACAAAAAGAGGGCTTTTTCACAAATGAACCCCAATTATGCAAATCTTTTGCACACTCATGTCAGAAATATATGGTCACACTTGTTGGAATACTTAAGATGCTTGTTTAGATCTTCTCTCTCTCTCTCTCTCTCTCTCTC